CTTGTGTAAGTTCAACAATGACCCCATAAAAATATTATCCACTTGATTTAATGTGAACTTGGAATGCTATAAGATGTCCTCCAGCTTGATGATGAAAAAAAATCAAGTACAAAATGTCATTAATATTTTTATCATTTCATCCCAAGCAAGGTAACAAAGCAACATGGTTTTACAATTAGTAAGGAGCGAGAACAATAACATTACATAAATCAAGGAATAACCATGGACATTGCATTTAAATGTTTGACAATAAAGTTGACCAGAAAGCAAGAAGCCAGGCATGTCGCTCAAGCAAGAAGCGGTAGAAAATAAACTGTTACGGTTAATGCAAAATGAGAACTTGCCGCCAGTTTAATACTGCGGTTAAAACCCCAGGGGCGGTAATATAGAGTATATCCAAACAGTTATGATGTAGATAGTTAGAGAAAAGGGAGAAAGAATCTACGTTGCGGGTGAAGTGACTGAAGTCGAGGTGCCAAGTCGAGATCAATGACTTTGTAGATTCTTCTTTGGATTTTAATACGTATCTATAAATATATATCAATGTTACAGCATTATTCTAAGCATGGAAAATTCTAGCTCTATAAATACGTAAGAGATTCGGGTGAGAAAATTTATGTAGCACATCACACTGAACGAACATTCCTAGCAGCTGGTCCAATATAATATTTCCACTTCATGTCAGCGGAAAACGTTAGAAATATAATTTTACTGAAGAATTGTCACGATAGAATTGGGTATAAAAAGGTATAACATATTTTAATATTTGCACAGTCTTCGAAACTTCTATTGCAAAATATTTTCATCGATGTAATTTTGAAGTAGAAACGAAAAATTATAATTAAATCTTGTAATGGGCAAGCAGTAACGTAACGAATTGACAATTATCCATAATTTTATCAAATATCAATGTTAAAGAAATCTCTCTATAAAATGCAGGATGTGTGTGTAACGAATGCACGCCCGCAATTTTCGACGGATTTGCACCAAAATTTACATTCACATGCTCCAAGTTAGCGGGAAGGCCAAGACCGACATTGCATTTCAAAACTCTTATCGATAGTGGAAATAATCGAGTTTTTCATGCTTCTACGCCAGTTTTCATGTAGTTTGCGGCCATTTTGTAATGCCCAGAGTGAGAGCCTATAGCTGGCTGCCACGAATAGGCAGGAAGATTCTAATGGCCAGCGTGAGAGCAAACAGCTGACTGACACGAATGTTAACTGGCATGCTAGCATGCAAAAAAATCGATAGCTGCATTCGGCACAAGTGAGAAAAATTTAAATCTGCATGGCACTTTACTCCAATTGGCTCATTCGCTTGCTTAAACTCAACGTTGATTCTTGGGTGTGAAAAAGTATGTTAACATTCTATTTTCATTTGGTTTTTCCAGTTACGAGTCCTTTTTTAAAGCTGATCGTTTTGTGTTCATTTTGTTTAGTTCTTTTTTCGTAACAGATTTAATGTTTCGTATAGACCTTAGAAAAATTCGCCGTGTGAGATAGGCAAGAAGGAAGGCATGTAGCAACATCAGCACGGCAAAGGGCACTCTTTTAAAGGCAAGGAAGGGCATAAATGTTTTAAGTCAAGTGATAGCGATTGCTGTATGAGTCGTACGATTTTTGAATCGAGCACGAGCAACGCCGGGCCATGCTGCTAGTGGAATATAATTTCAGTATTAACGATGGAATCATTTACTATCCATCTTAAATGGTTAGTAAAGGATTTTGGTTTGATAAGAAAAGAACTTTAAGTGAACGATTGACATTATTTATATTTATATAGTCAGTCATGAAAATTATAAAGTACATATGTCGAGCATCGCACTTATTTTTTCTTAGCATTATCATTATCATGGTTTTGTCGTTATCGTTTCATGAAAATATTTTTTGGCTCGTCACAAGGCTGAATTGTACTCTGTAATTTCAATTAAAAATTACATCCGTTTGGCTGATGAAGAGAATGAAAGTCCTGAAAAAAGTACTAACATTGAGTAAACGTTATATAGTTGAGGTTTACCATTTTTGTAATTTCAGTTATATATATATATATATATGTGTGTGTGTGTGTGTGTGTGTGTGTGAGAGAAAAGACACGTATGTTGAATCTCATATTTTTCCAATTTTCGAAATGTTAGCTAAACTCAGTAGTTCCAGTTTGTGCTATATTTTTCGGCAGTCTGTCATTTTCAAGAAACATGGGTCGCTTTGTGGAATTCTTACATCCCGGAATTGTTGGGAAAGCTGAAATTTTGAAATAGTTTGCAATGGCACCCGTGTAAGTGTTAATGGGTGGCGAGGCCGCCCCAAACAGAATGCTTGCTTTATTTATTTATTTATTGCATGAGACCTCGTTACATTAACTGTTACATAAAACATCGTCGTGGACGTTGGATAACTTTCGTTGTCTAACTTATGGACCCCACACGGTTCTTGAAAACGGGTAAGGCAATCGAAAAATACTTGAACAAAACAAGAGCACAAACATGGCATATAATTACAATCCATTACACAACTTAAAAAAAATGGAACGTAACTTGACAGTTACATCTATTCAAAACTGTTCGAATGAATGCTCCCTATTAAATTGACAAGGTGCGAAGGATAAATTGTCGCCATTATATATGTTTAATCTCGCGCATGCGCGTTTTTTTGTTTTTTGGCTTTGTCGACTGCACGATATATTTAGTTGGGCACCGTCTGTGAGAGAAATGGTCAGCTGGGTACAGTCTGTCAGTAGGAGCGCCATGACGCAATTCATTCCTCCAAAAACTTGAAAACTGCATGCTGTACTGCTTCGCATTCGCGCCGATAGGACCAATAGGAACATTTCAGAGTGTTTGGACGTCAATCTGTGGACAGTGCGAAGGTTTCGAAAAGATTTGGATGATATATCCAGACATCATGATGTTTGGATTGATCACTAATGATGGCGACGTTAGGCCTTCATCCATCTTTCTACACGACCTGAGATTCAAAACGATGGCCGACATCAATTGCCCCGAGGAAGTAGGGCTGTCCTGGCTCAAGAGGGTGGCTGCTGGAAGAGTCTATATCTAGGAATAGGATTCTACACCATGTCACACAAGCAGGAGAATCCAGTCATGGCTGTTAGGCAATTTCTGCGGCCACATCACCCCTTAAATATGTCTAACCAACTCCCCAGACTGCATCTCCCTTGATAATGAGTGGGGCGCAGTTGAACGAGTGACCAACGAAATTCCATGTAACACCAATGATGAACTGAAAGCAAATATTATGGCAGCATTCACTAACAAGGAAACCGATAAGAAATGCAAGTGATTCCGAATCCGCCTGGAGGCCGTTTCTGAAGCCAAAGGCGATCTTATTGAATAAATTTAGTGTTTAGTATTTCAAGATATTTTTTCGTAATTTTGGTAAATATATCTGTGATATCAGTGTTATTTTCATGTTTGCTTCATTTAGACAATTCATCAAACGCACCCTGTACTGTTTTATAAATGTATCATGTTATAAATATATATCAGTCTAGTAGTATTGACCCTAAATGAAGTTCCATCTTGAAATTTCCGATATTTTAATCCCAGAAAACTGTAGAGTTGATAGATTATAGTAATGTTTATTGCATGTCAAGAAACGGTTCTCTGCATTAATACAGCATTATTAATACGTAATGTTCGTAACATTTCTAGCATTAATATTTAACGTTGCCTCTTGAGTTTTCACTATTATTTCATTACACCTGCATATAGACAGCAGATGCTTAGATTATTATGAGTAAGAATTTGTTTGCTTTAAGTCTCGTCACATACGTAATACCTTTCCTCCACATTTTCTTAAGCGCATAAGTTTCCCGAGTAGACTTAACCCTACATCGGCTGTCACATTTTTAGAAACGGTTCCATGAGTGTGACTTACTTTGGACGCCAGCGCTGACTTTCATATTCTATTCCTTCTCGTATTCTCTAGCGAATTCATTACTTTACTAATATTTATTTTTCCCAGATTCAATCGTTATGCATGGATCGAGTCGATGTGAATTACATAAACTGTATGGTTTTCCTATATTTATTTATTTTTTTTTTTTTTTTAATAGTTAACGTTCCCTAGCAGTCATGAATGACTTTTCTCCTGGCAAACTACTGACAGCAGGTCTTAAAAATACCTGTGAAAACTGTCACATATCTGTATTTAGATATGTCCGTTTGAAATATTTCGATAGGTATTTCAATTTCATTAACAACCGAGTAGTTAGCGAATTTCTATTATCCCAAACGCATATATATATATATATATATATATATATATATATATATATATATCTATATATATATATATATATATATATCTCATTTTAATACTTTTAACCGCAAGAAATGTTTATATACATTTCCATTCACTTCAGATCTCGTTAAAGATGCGTGTATGGCTTGTGAGATGTGTAAACAGTGAGCTTTCACAATTTTAAATGGACTTGTGCTTAGGGTAATGAATTATTATACGGGAATAGTTATGACACTCAAAATGAAAGAAGCTGGGTGCCGGAAAAGGTGTTATCGGGACGCTCACTGACACTAAATATAAACACCACACCTGCACTCCTTTTTGTATGCGTGGGGAAATGTTATGTAAAAGACACCTTTATGTAAACCAATCTTGGTTAGTCTTACGCACAACGCAGGAATAATATAAAGTCAACACTTGGTTAAAGGCCGCACTGTGGACGCTTACACTAGACTGGATAAGAATACCTGGAGAAAATTGATCGATTCATTTTCTACGATTAATCAACTTTTTTATGTTATTTAAAGCCAGAAAATATTTTTAGATTCTAAGAATTTTTATTTTAGATACTAATTTACTAACAACTCTTACTAATTAACGCATAGCTGGGTGGATATGAGGAGAAAGATACCCTTTTCCAAGGGTATTTGCGCGTACGTAAAGATAACGAAACGATTGGAATTCGAACCCGAATCTCATTAACAATTCCGAACCATTATTCATTACACGTCCAAGCTTACAGCACCTGATCTTCCCAAGCGGTCACCTTAACTAGGTACTGACCAGGATCGACGTTGCTTAACTTCGATGATTGTAAGGGAACCTGCGCTTCAAAGTGATGCGGCCGTAAGTGCCTCAACAAGAAGTTTAATAATTATTTGTTAGAAATCAACTTACTGTCACTTGAATTTCATAAAAAGTAACGTTTTATTCTGTCAGATAACATTGCATGTTTTCTGTACCGAAATTTCTTACTGAACAATTTCAATAAAATATATATCATATAAGAATATTGTGGAGGTATATAACCGTTTTCATAAACATGTTGATGAGAAAAGGAGCGTATGTTGTGCTGAGATTAATTCCATGTTTGCAGGTAATATTATCAGCTTTGCTTCTACGTATAAAAAAATAAGTTTTAGAGGATGTATTTATATGAATAGATTAATATTGTTTTATCCTTACATTTTTCGACAATAATATATTATAATTCCAATGTTGAAATACTAGAATGTTCACTTGATTTTTTTTCATATTCCACCTGAAAAAATTGTGATTGAATTTGTTCAAAATATCAAATAAGAATAATCTGACACAATCGTGAATCAATAAAAGCTACCACCACATTGTTCCAAACTTGTACATTAAAATCTAATTAAAAAAAAAACCAAAAAAACATTAATCAACATAAAACGTACATTAATATACATGATGGAAAAATAAAAGTTCAGATTAAGTTTACATGTATTTTGTTTTCATTTTATCTGGAATAATTTTAATCTTTTGTGCCGAATTTCAGATGAACAACAAAAATACTCATCAGTATATTTAAGTTAAATGAAATTACAAAAAGAGGAAAAATGTAAAATACGTGCGCACATGAGTACCTTCACGTATTTCCATAGAAAATGTTTTACGTCTTGCATTGCTAACACAATAATTGAAATTGTTCTATTTTTATTGATTTAATTACTACGTATTGTAAACACTACAGAGTAACACAAAATCCTGTTTCGTTTAACACCAAAGGCAGACATGTTTGCAATTAAATCTGTCACAATTCCACAAAAAGAAAGAAACTAATATTTTATCACACAATTGGTTTAAGGGAATGGATAACGCGTCAGTAAATATCACCATATATTCTGAGTAGCCTAATTTATGGTTGATGCTTGGAAATTAGGTGCTAAAACTTAAGAATACTTAGATACAAACTCTAAAACTACTTATACAATTATGGGTGAACTCGATATTTATATCTAAAGCAAGGTATATATAAATGTTCTTTGATGCGGATACATCTTTCTCACTATTGTGAAATAGATTCATGTCTGTTAATCTGTAATTTTAAATTTCTATGATTTCTAAGATTTCGATATATGGGGTGTGGTTAAATGGAACATATTTGAAGATGGCTGAGAATATCCTAATCCAGTTTTAAAGGTTTCAAATGACAAAGAGAAACAATAGTTTGGAAGAGAACAATAATCGGATTAACCAACCTTAAGGAAAATTAAATCTGAAAAGTTGACGAAATGTGAATGTAATATAAAACAAATGCTCAGCAACAAACATGTTAGCACATACAAACTTTTATATATATATAGGAGGTATATTATTCATATGATTCTGAGTAAAAGAAACAAGCTCTCTGCTAATTTTTTTAATTGTACATTCTTCGAATTTTAGAATAAGGTATGGATCAACTTATTGGAAAATCTGAAATATGCATAAAATAGTTTAACATTTATTGGTCCTTTTTAATATATATTGGACACTCTTGGCGTTTTCGACGTATGACAGTCAAACAACTCGCTTCATAGAACAAGCTGTCAGACTACAGGCACATATCGTTTGATTTAAATGAAGGTTCGTGCAGAACTATCCACACTTTTTTTTTCTAAATGTCAAATGCAGAGAACTGGTACACAGATTTTCCAAGCGTAGCTTAGATGTGGCACAAGGCCGAAAGTATGGGGCATCCAGTGAGGATCGAACTCACTTTTCAGTAGTAACTGATCTAGCAAGACAAGCTTGCTAACCATTACACCACCACGAGGTGCCCCAAACTGGTACACAGTATGCCACAAATTTAACAATCAACACTCCGCTATTTCTCCTGTATATATAGAAAAATATGGAAAAATTTCTTGTGATGCGTTTCATCCGTTATGATTTCATCGGGATGAGTTTTGTTGATGTTGCTGTGTCCACACATGCGCACAAAAACTGGGACGCAGGTCGCTTCAAAATTTTTCGAAAGAATGTTTTTGTTTCTATCTGGCCAAATTCATGTGTATTCTTTTTCTTTTCATCAACTTTTCCCCTGAAAATTCCATAAATGGCAATATAAATCTACCAAGACTGGGGATGTATTTTAAGAACCAGGACGCAAATCTTCTAAATACTCTTTGTTGATACATAAAATTATACAACATATATATTCTACATATTGCTCACATTAGAACCTTGACAGAGCACAGAACATTGTAATGATGAATTATTTTCTACACTACCACCAACATCTTGCTTATGAAACATCGCAAACCTTTCACTACCACATCACTGTTCCTATGGTAAATGTTTCGGTACACTACATTCGTTAGTTTTTCCTGCTGTGAAGTTCACAATTAAGACCACCCATGATATGTACACTTGAAGTAATCATCCCTTTCCTTTGTATTCCCTTCATAAGTAAGCTACTTCCCAAGAACCGCTGCCTTATGAAACAAAGACCCTGCTTGCGTTACCACAACAATTTCAATCTCTGCTTAACCAATAGATTTCTATCATACCCCCTAAAATGCACGACAACCTCAGTTAGTAACCCTTTCCAATGAGTTGCTCTCAGGTCTTGTATAAGACGAACAATTAATAAAGAAAATAGACAGCCGTACACCCATATCAAATATACTTCAGCCCGATATCTCTAAATTTAGTTTGATCGATTCATCACCGAAACACAAAACCGATTCCACAGGGTGGTTAGAAAATTCTTTAAATACTAGAAACCTCTATTCGGTTGGATTTTAGACGAACTTCTGCAGAGGGCTTTTGGGCTTTCGACCTTTTACCTTTAGTGTCCTGTCCGTAAAATTTATAAGAACTCAAAAATAATAAAATTATATCTTTATTCGACACCATAATTCGGTGTAATTTTTATTTTTTAATTATAATCACAATTCATTTGTGATCACTTCACGTAAAATCTGTCTTCAGACATTAGGGACTACTATGCAATTTTTTGTATACATTACTGTACGCATGCAAGAAAAAGAATAAAAATATGAGAAATTTACCGTGCCACGATGAAGTTTCAAGTACGATTTCATTAGACGATATCAACTGCAATTGTGACGAAAAGCGAAATTAAAGTTAAACTTTTAAAAAAGTATTGTTTCATTCGCTTTGATTAACTTTTTTTTATGAGCAAATGTTTAAAAACTATTTATTTTAAGTTTGCTTCAAAATATACTGTAAAAATATTAGTATTGTTTACTTCTTGTCAAACATTGCTTTCATTATATTTGCTGTTTGGCAGGAATAGCAGCGTTGACCAGATGTCGCCCCCAAATCAATTTGAGCTCAAAATTGCTATTTCCTATTTTTCGTGTTGCCGTATGAAGCGGAAGCGCTGCAAATATAGGCCTTGAAGAATATATTTTACTAAACAAAAAATTTACTGCGTGTGTCCAAGTGTTAAGGGCAAGAAAAAAAATATTTTTAGTGAAATGTTCTCTTCGCTCTATTAATTTAAAAATATAGAGAAAAATACAAATAAGTAAAAACTTCATTAAAACATGTATTATAGAAATGTAAAAAGAAAAAAAAATCGTAGCATATTATTTTTAAAATTTGCAAATATCTAATTTCATATTCATTCGTGTAGGACTGCGCTTAAGAATCTAGCTAGACAAATAAATTTCTAGAGAAATCTCTAAATAAAAAATGTTGCATATAGGTTCCCCATATCAGCAAAACATTCATACAATGGCTTTAAATAATCTACAAAGAGTCTATAAACAGTAAAATATCAATATCTACGTTACAGCTAAGGCAAATATTACGCGTTCACTGGATCGAATAATTCTCATTCCTCCCCTACTCGTTTCGTCATAAGGGAATTTGACTCTTATTCTTCCCGGGAATAGCTACCATGTGTTTCATGCATCAGAATATGCTTCCTCAATCAGTACAAACTTAACCGTTTAAAAACAACCTCAGTTTATCCGACATATCCTTATAATCTGCAATTACATCTTCCTCTGTCTTCCGTATAACCTAATTTAGTAACTCTCAACGTTGGGCCTTCTTTTGTTGAACCTTTAATAAAAAGAAAATTTCGATGTTTGATGTTAAAAAGATATCTACAATATGAAACGATAACATAGGATACAGATTGATTCAACAAGATTCGTTAACAGAAGTACTAGACTCTACTTCTTATGTTAGTCATATTTCGGGTGTTGATATATAATGTCGTGAAAACACAAAATAAATTTGAATTTGATTATGTACTGCCAAAGCAACGTATCTGTAAAGAGAATTAATTGAAGATAGAAGCTCACAGAAATTCCACCTTGCTCTATAGCCCTCAATGTCATCTGTTCCATCAAGGCTATGCCGTCTTTTAGTAATAATGTTTCGCTATTGTGCCCAAATCATAGAATTTTAGAAAAAACCGGTTCACTCTCCTCCCTAGTTTGTAGCTTGTTTCGTGTTTACGACTGGGTTTCCTGTTTTTTTTTATTTTCTTTAAGCCCCCAGTACCCCCCACGCGTCCTTGTGGCTTTATAACCATGCTTGGAGTGAACTGATGGAAAGGAAATAAAATACAATTCAATTACATTAGCTTAAAAGCCGCTCCATCAGACGGCTTTCAAACTAGCTCAAGTGTAGGGCTCTTGATTGAGCCTGCGCGTTGTTCCGAAGTAGGAGTCTCTCTAATTATTGGCTTATTCTCAGAACTAGAAGATTCCCGTGGTTGCCGTAACATCGAGGTTTTTATTTGAAGGCGACTTTTATTTATTTATTTATTTTTATTTTATTTTTTACCTCACTGCAGCCTTTGTCGTCGGTTGACGGAGTTTTCTTCTTGAGAGTTATACTACTGCTGTCGTATACTATGA